TATAAATATATTTGTACATAACAATAATATACATGCTCAAACAATAAGACAGTATACAAAGGCAATAATGATGTTCAATGTCATGTGACCCACAGCAACCAGATCACCAAACATTAGATTGGAATCTGATGATTTTTGATTGGATGCCATAAATTACTACATGTTTAACATCATTGCTGCTTTTTGCACCACCTTTCTGAAAAAGTATAATAGTGTCTATACAATGAGGATTTAAATATAATTTACATACAGGCACTATAACACAGACTCATGACTTTCTTTTAGCCATTCCAAGTTCTGCCTAGCTTTGGATTTACTAAGAAGTTAGTCAGCATCCTGAACTACTGACAGCCCGGTTAAAATATACATGGTCTAACAACCTGCTCTCAGCATTGCATATTAAACACCTCAGTTCTTGTTCTGTGAATAAAATATAATCTGACAGTCTGACAAAAATCATCTATTGCTGCTGGAAGCTCAAATGGTTCTAAAAAAAAAAAAAAAAGAAGAAGGAACACATATATTATAGTAATACTACTGTAAACAGGCAGTGCACATGTTAAAATTGTTGTGAAAATGTCAAAGTATTAAAACCATTTATTTTTTAAAATAAATGGTTTTAATACTTTGACAGATGACTCCAGCAGCCCATATAAAAGTGAACTGCAGTGAAATGTAGATACTAATCACTTTTCGAAAAGGAATGTTTTGTCCATGTGTCTACTATTTTACGGTTAGCCAATATTTTTCAAGAAATACAAAGTGAGAAACTCTAAAGGGCAGCTTCTCCCCAACTCCTATGCACATATTTAGATCAGCACTAGGACTAAACACAAGCTGAAGACACATTTTGCCATATTCTCACATGCATATGTCAGATTTGATATGTTGCTAAAGCCCAGTTTTCTTCCAAAATTTGAGTAAGGATGATGGCCATAGTTTATGTCCATTGTCCTGTATGCTGATGTCCATGAGGTGTCTAAAGTCTATGGTCATCCTTCAATCTCTCAGTAGGCATAGCACAAAAGTACAATGCTGCTCTACCTATAACCACTATTATAGGTAAAAGATGTCCAGCCCAAAGGTGGCCGCACATTATACAAATCAAATTGCAGTCTACTCTAGATTTACCAAAACTCTGCAATAGGAGGACAAATCTAAACAGTCCAATCCTTTTGTATCAAATCAGACAGGCCCTTGCACTACACAGTGAACGGTAGATCTAAGGGAGATAATACAATCAAATTATATAATGTATGGTCAATTTTAGGGCCAGTGCACAAGTAGGCGACACCTCACCAGGCAGCAATTGTGCACGATTAGGAGTCGCCTAGGTGTGCACCGATCGCGCTGTTGGTGCCATTATTTTCTAATGGCACCCCAGGTCGCACCGGGCGGATTACGTGGTTTCCCACCGTGATTCTGCCTGTGCTTCCGAACACAATCGCGGCTAAAACAGCCGTGTGTTATGTATCGCAAAAAAAAGTACATGTACCTTTTCTCTGCGGTTCCCGTTCGAATGTCACCCCATTGAAATCAATGAGGTCAGGCGGCAATCGCTGTCCGCATTGTGCAGGACCGCGCGATCACGGATCGCGGAGGTCTGCACCGGGCCTTAGGATACACCAAAGACAGCCCAATCTTCTTTTGATCCAGTCAGACATTATAGGCATCAGGTGTACTTCAACATGAAAAGAAAAAAAACAAACATTCATTGCATTTTTCTTAAAAGACCACACATGGCGAGAGTTTATTTGGTCAAGTCAAACGGTTAAATGATTTATCCTTAGTTCTAGTAGTGCTTTGGAATTTACATTCGTTATTTAACCATTTCATATCCTCAGTCAACTCCCCCCAATGTTTAGGTTTTGGTGGACGGACACTGGCTAGTCGAATCACACTGTGATTTCTTCTACCACTTCTACCATGCAGATCTCACTGCATTTATGTATGTGTCTGCTCTTCCTGTAAGGCCTTGACAATGGTGATTACAGTTGGGTCCCTAATTTTTTATGTGTACACAATGGCTTGATCCATGGCTGCAGCAGTTCGTCAACACTGGTATTTTTGAGGGAAGGATCTTGACACAGTAATTTCTTAAAGTTATAAGAAATCAGACAATTATTGAATTTGCCAGACACACCTCAATCTTAGCATTGGGAGGAGTTATCTTGTGGATAACCTTAGTGTGAACTTCAATCTACTTCCCATGTGTTACAAAAACAGCTGTGAGCCAAAACACCGATGGGGCTACCTATAGGACTAATAACATGGCAGCTGATGTATTTACATTCCCTTCAGAAAATCTCATTAAGCATACATAAAGCAATCCAACTAAGTCAGGCAGATTTGTTTTGTCCGAAAAGGGATAGAAATAATCATGTTGACAATGATAATGATTTTCTAAAATACTGTATATAAAATTGCCATTTTAGTTGAAACATTGGGGAAAAATAGCTTGGCACACCAATGCTACATTGGCTGAATGATTTTCAGTGGCACCAAGGTCACATGCTCTTCTTAGCATTTTACAGCCACAAGTAGGCAGTAATCTATGAGAATAAAGTCCCATCTCAGTATACAATGCAGGTCCCAAATCTTATAAATGAGTCAGTATGTACAGGGTACATATGAATTACATCTCTATGTGGGTATTTATTAAATCTGGAGCAGACAGAATCTGGAGTAGTTGCCCATGGCAAACAATCAGCTTCCGTCTGCTCCAGTTTTGATAAATTCTCCTCTGTGTATCTAGAATGTCTAGCACCTTCTTCAGAAATCCTCGGCCCGATTGTAACGATCAAATAGTACAAAAATGGTTAATGAACAGCAACATAAATGACTCAAGAGTTTTTCCCTATACCTTTGTAACAGTTTTAAAAAAACAATTAGCATTTTAATCTTTTCAACATGCAGTTTATTTATGTTTATCAACACCAAAACGCATCCTTAAGTGCAGAGCCCTTCAATGTTCCCTCTAAGGTGCATGGTCCTATAGCTAGGGTATTTGTACAGTAGCAACAGGTTCAGAAGTGCCATCATTCATATTGTCACTGTGGTGCACAAGGTCAAATCCAGAAACCTGGGAGGCGACACTTGTTCCATATTACTGATCTTTGCATGTGAAGCCTAGAAAAGCTCCCTGGCAACACTAAATGCCAAATGTGGCTAACAGTACATCTTTCCTATGTTCCTAAAAACCATGTGGTAGGGAAAAAAAAGAGTCTATATCAGCAACAAATGCCAAACAAAATGGCATGTGGTTATCAAGGTTTCCCTGAAATATATCTAACAACGAGGGTAACACTACAGCAGAGGTGGGGAACCTCCGGCCCTCCAGCTGTGGGGAAAACTACAAATCCCATGATGCATCTGTCTCTGGGCGTCATACCTGTGAGAATCTTGCAATGCCTCATGGGATTTGTAGTTTCACCACAGCTGAGGGGCCAGAGGTTCCCCACCCCTGCATTACAGAATCAGTCTGAAAAATGGAGGAATCATTTTGTAATACTAGCTGACAATAACAGCAATGTGTCTGGTAGGAGAATGGAAGCCACCTTTTACATATAATATGTAGTGTTATGTGCCAAATCCACTCCCACAGATCAAGCATAAGAGGAAACGCTGATGACCATATCATTTTTCTGCTATGCAGACAACTTTTAATAGCTAAACATTATTTGTGTGCGAAAAATGATGAGATACTTAACAATACTTCTTGTAACAGCAGTCATAACCAAATTAAAAATTCTGAATAAAACTACCCACAATCACACTTTTCTTTCATCCTTGAAAGTGCATACACTGAACAAGACAAGATGGCGGCTTCTTGTCTTGCAGCATTAGTGTTCTCATTTGCTGTCTAATACTCTATCACTCATAACACTGTTTTCTCTTTCTTTACAATGGCATTCAAATTTTATTGCTGGTGTCCCCCAGGAGGTTTAGCACATAATATATATATATATATATTTGGCTAAGTAGAACCTCTACCGTTGAGTATTCTGTGGCATATCTGTCTCTTTACATGGGTAGTCATGGTGTGTCACTCCTATCCATCCTGCAGTGCCCACCTTGGTGACTTCACCATGGAGGGCAGCCTTACCTTTCAAACATACAGATAAGGTGAACAGCAGTTAAGTACTTTGAAATGCTAAACCCCACTAAAATCTTACAAGTTACATGAAGATATTAAAGTGACAGCAGCAAATGGTTAAGACTAGTTCTTGTCTGTGTTTAGGCCATGGTTCTATATCTAATATAAAAGTTTAAACAGCTGAATAAAATGAAAAAAGAAAAATGTAGTATAATGACACAATAGTAGAAAAAAAACATGTACAGTCACTTTTAGTCATGTGATTCGAATAAAAATGCAGAGCATAAATAATGACACTACGCACAATGCATTCTGGGAATGTCAACCGAGAGTACTTAAATATTCAGTTCCTTGTAACACTTTCAGCCTGAAAACAAATATAAAATTGGTGATGCTTTTATCCAAATACATGCTTACTGGCTTTACTATTTTGAGGTAAGCTGGTCCATTTCTCCAGCCTCTCACTGCCATGGAGCTCAGAGGTCAGCAATCCTTGCTGAGGAACAGACTGTGACCCATTCTGGCAGTGAACCGTTAGCCTTTTAAACTGGTTAAACACTTCCCCAATTAGCAAAACAAAAATAGAATCCAACTGACTCAATATCATCTTGCACACACGCAAACATGGAATTAAAAAAAAATAAAAAACATATAAGGCTGGAGATGTCAAGTCATTCCACTCATCGACGAAGGACAAATGTCAGTGCTTCATTGTTGAACGTTAAAATCGCACGTGCGCTTTGAATTCACACAAACATACAGCTTACCATCCCATATAAGTGAATGAAAAAGTTTTGTGATAAATAACCTCCCTCCCACATCCCTTTTCTTTCCCCACCCTTTCCCGCCCCTTGTCAATACTGTCCTACATTCCAGTTGTGTGTAGACAGCCATAGGAAGAGTCTGTGTTCATCCAAGGGTCTCATTGGCAATAAGTAATGATTCATGTCAGGAAAATATCAGGCGGGTCCTTTCTTTGCCTGTCATTGCTATGCCTTGGGAGAGAGAAGTTTTTTGGGGGTGGCAGGTCTCTTAGCCTGCCATAGATGGCTGTGGATGGTCACAGCGTCAACACTAGCAGACATGGTTTTGGCTGGAATGTGGCTGAACTGCTTACGATCAGAATTATACTTATAGAGGCCATCAATCATTTTCCGGGATATGGAACGTGGCCCAATTCCCACCAGCTTATTAATCTCCTCGGTTTCTGGATAGTAGGTGTACACTGATCGGAACTGGCATCCTGAGTCGCGGAAGAGAATCAGGAAATTGTGGGCGTTGGATTTCTCCATTTCCTGTAATAGTAAGAAAAAGTTACACTAAAATAAATACAGAAGCATAACTGCTGACAACAAAATAGATCAATGAACCATACAAGCACAACAAAGTCTATACAAGGTTAAATGATGCTCATCCATACATAATTGCAAGCAAAAGCTGATCAGAATATAGGACATGAGGCATAGGGATTTGATAAAGACCAATTGGATTGAAACCTGTTGCCCGCCTTGGAACACAGTACTCTGATATCGGTATACATTGTTTTTTAAAGATAAAATTAAGCATTTTTTTTTTTTTGCTGATCACCTTTTATTCACAACTGCCATTCGGGGTGTGTGGGAGCATGCTGATCTTGCACCTGTCTCAAGTTGTTGCTATAAGGGTGAGTTGGGCATTTTCTTTTCTTTACACGGCTCATTCATACCCATACAAAACAAAGCATGTTGTGTTATGTGAAATGATATTTTCAGATTTAACATCTTTAATTTTCTTAAATATTAGTTTAAATGTATGACAGAAAAACCAACGGAAAAGTTTAGCCCATCCATAACCGATGTTGCAGTTTTTGGTAGATGTTAAAGAGGTATACCCCCTGACAGTTCCTTATATTTCTTGGATTCTCAAAAACCTGCTTTGGCCATTATGAGGGGTTCCTACTGTCCTAGCTGGATTTGTAATTTATTTTATACTATGGTAAATGCAAGAAGTGATGAAATATGTAAATATGGATGGGAACATCCAAACCTCTAGAATTCTAGAGTTAGAATTTGTAGTAAGGAAACCAATTAAACTTTGAAAGCACCAACCTTTCAATTAGCTAGAATTTGTGTGTCTCAGATGTGCAGAACAATTTCAAACAATTCCACACAGTTATATTTTGTTTGTTTTTCAACCACAGAAGTCTCTGCATGTTAACATATAGCTGATTGATACGGGAAAAAAGACAGGAGATATCCACTAGCGGCCCATCTACACAGTGGTGCAGGGCTGTTGTCATGACCTCGAATCCCTTTATAAAGGATTAGTATGGAGTAAAGCTGGATCCCTTGCCATAACTTTAGTCCATGCTCCTAATGTTTGACAGACTACCATTATGGCCATGGCAGGTTGAATAACCTCCTAATATAAACAAGACTTTGGAGAGAGTCTCTAAATATTTGTCTATGGGATCCTTAAATATTGAGGTATCCTCCAACGGAATAAAAATAAAAGACTGGACAAACTGTGGAAAAAGCCCATTTCTTAATAAAGGCCTTCTCAAACGGATATTGAATTGCTGGGAACAGTTTATGCATCAGGATTCATTTTAGTAGCCATAGGGTGTCTTAGGGATCCTAGACAAGGTACAGCACTGGTGGAAGTTACAGGCCAAAATGATCTCTATCGGCCTGGGAGTTATGACAGGTGCCTGCAACTACTTAGGGGTAATCACATCCTGCTGTCATTTATGAGAACCTTTCTTTAGATAAGACTTCTACATTTAGGCTGGGTTCAAACCTGAGCGTTTTTTTAATGCTCGTTTTTCAGCTCGTTTTTTTTCCACGTTTTTTCGTTCAGTGAAACGCGCGTTTCACTGGCGGTATGGTTTTTTTTTTGTTTTTTTCCTTTATTTTCTCTATTTTAAAAAAAAACAAAAATTATGATTTTTTTTTTAGTTTCACTTTTAAACTTCCCGCCGGCTCCGCCCCCGTGCGACGAGGCCGCTCGCAAGGGACGGAACCCGGAAGTCAGCAGCCGCCGAAGACACAGCGGGGATCGCGGACAAGGTAAGTCCTGTACGCTGTATTCCCGAGTGTGGCTCGGGGGTTACTGCTTTGTTAACCCCGATCTACACTCGGGAATACCAATGGCAGCGCGCGGCAAAACGCCCCAAAAGAAGCTCCTGTACTTCTCTGGGCATAGGGCGTTTTGCAGCGCGTTCCTACGTGCTGTAAAACGCCCAGGTGGGAGCCATTCCCATAGGCAATCATTGGTTTTCACATGTTGAGCGTTTTACAGCGTGTAGGAACGCGCTGTAAAACGCCCACGTGTGAACCAGGCCTTAAAGACTCAGAGGCTGCTCAGACAACAATTCTGAAGGGGAAGGTATTGTGGTCTTCTGTTGACAGTCTTGACATGCACAAGGAAGATTCACATGCAGTGAATATTTTTTTAAAGTGTTGTTAATTACAGGGAATGATTAATTACCTGGGAATGTTTGGTGGATGTTAAATTCACTGCTTTAACCACTTCTAGACCAGGTGTTTAGACCCCCTTCCTGGCCAGCCCATTTTTCAGTATTCAGCGATGCGGTACTTTGACTGACGTTTATTTCGTCATGCAACACTGGGGGGGGGCAGCGGAGGGATGTTTTCCCTACGTTATGTTAAAAAACATTTATTCTTACCCATATTTTTGGTAAAATATAAAAAAGTTGGGGTCACGTTGGGCAAATACAAAAGAATATGGACACCGGCACTCCAATAGCAGATACAATACGTCTATTTATTGAAGTACATTCAAAAAGATAGCATAGCAAACTTAGTGCGACTTTTCGGGGTCACACAGGATCCCCTTCATCAGGCAGAACACATCACTGTGGCGATGGCCATCCGTCGACTACCGACGTATATGCGGTCCGGAGTGCAATGGGTACATGGACTGTAATCACGTCGGGTAAATAGACACCAAACATGTCGAGCCTTAAAATTGCGCGTGCCTGCAAAATCGCAAAAAACAACCACAACAAAAATTGTCCATAGGCGACGCTTTAAACGCTTACTGCTCATCAGTTTAGTGTTATCAGTGATTAATGGCCCTAAAATTATTGCTCACACTCCGACGTTCGTGGCGACATGTAACATGTGTGGCACAATAGGCACAATCATCGTTTTCACACGTGGGCACACCGGACGCATGTTTGTGTGTATGTGGGGGGCGGGGCACTTTAGTGTTTTGTTTTTTTTTAATGCTTCTTTAATTTTTTTTATCACTCTTTTTCATTTTTTTACACTTAATTCTATTTCTATCACATAGGGGACTAAGAAGCCCATGTGATAGCCAATTTACATGACAGGCACTCTTTATGGAGACATCAGGGGTCTCCAAGACCCCTAATGTCACCTAGGGACCCCCAGAGAAGCTGAGGAAGCAGAGATCTGCTTCACCAGCTTCGGAAGCTGGAGAGTGACAGCAGAATGCGGAAGTGATGTAATATACATCACGTCCTGCATTCAGGGACTGGAGAGGAGCTCAAAAGGGAGATCGTGTACTGATCTCCTGTCACAGAGCAGCCGTGCCAGTCCCGGCTGCACCGGGCACAGCAGATCTCGGGACCGGCAATGACAGCTGCTGCTAATACAATCGATCGGGCGTCTCTAGAGACGCCCGATCGCTTGAATGTAAAGCTCCTGGCCGGCCTTTGTAATTAAATGATGGGAAGCTACTCGTCGGGCCCCAGCGTTCTCTCGTCACAGGTGAGAGGATTTTTCAAGCCCTGCATCAGTCAACAAAATAAAGTAAGTGTATGTGTGATCTTAAAATTAAAAAAAAATTACTTATCCTATCCAAGAGCTTCTACATGAGCTACTAACCTCCAATATCTTGTTCTTTTGACCTTCATTAACTTTGCCAGCCAGACAACAATGAGAAATAGCATTCTGGATGATATATTTATTGGATTTTGCACTGGGCTCTTTGTATAATTTTGGTCCTGTGGGCAAGAGATGACCATTGTTATATGAACATGTAGAATGGTTAAACATACTAGAACAGAAAAGGAAAATCCACATATTCTGTGTACACACACATTCCTCACCTGTATACTCTGTTGCAGATGCTACTGAAGAAGTAGTAGATGCATTCTCCCAATCTTTTTCGCCATTACGACTGCCACAGCGGCCAGGCGATGGAAATCCCTCCACAGACTCCGACCTGAATGGGCTGAAAAATAATGCATGTTAGTTAAGAACAGCAGCAAGTCCAATCTATTTCATTTTGTTCATTTTTTTGTAGTGTAAAACTAAAAAAACACACAGCATACGCAAAATTAAAAAGATGAAAACGTTGCTATGCTTTGTTCTAGAAACAGTTTTGGCATCATGATAAATGGGACAAATTGCAGAATACAACAATACTGTGCAAAAGTTTTAGGCAGGTGGGAGAAAATGCTGTAAAGTAAGAATGCTTTCAAAAATAAAAGTGTTGATAGTTTATTTTTATCAATTAACAAAATGGAAAGTAAATGAACAGAAGAGAAATCAAATCAATATTTGGTTTAAATCACCCCCCCCCCCCTCTTTGCTTTCCTAACAGCATCAATTCTTCTAGGTACACTTGCACACAGTTTTTGAAGGAACTCGGTAGGTAGGTTGTTGCAAACAACTTGGAGAACCAACTACAGATCATCTGAGGATGTAGGCTGCCTCAAATCCTTCTGTCTCTTCATATAATCCCATACAGACTCAATGATGCAGAGATCAGGGCTCCGTGGGGACCAAACCATCACTTCCAGGACTTCTGTTCTTCTTTACGCTGAAGATAGTTTTTAATTACATTGGCTGCCTGTTTGGGGTCGCTGTCCTGCTGCAGAATAAATTTGGGGCCAATCAAACACCTCCCTGATAGAACGGCATGATCGATAAGTATTTCTCAGCACTGAGGATACCATTGATCCTGACCACATCTCCAACTCCATTTGCAGAAATGCAGCCCAAGACTTGCAAGGAACCTTCACCATGCTTCACTGTTGCCTGCAGACATGCATTATTGTACCGCCTTCGGCAAACAAACTGCCTCCTGCTACAGCCAAATATTTCACATTTTTGACTCATCAGTCCAGAGCACCTACTGCCATTTTTCTGTACCCCAGTTCCTATGTTTTCGTGCATAGTGGAGTCGCTTAGCCTTGTTTCCACGTCAGAGGTGTGGCTTTTTGGCCGCAATTCTTCCATGAAGACCACATCTGGCCAGATGTCTCCAGACAGTAGATGGGTGTACCTGGGTCCCACTGGTTTTCGCCAGTTCAGTGCTGATGGCACTGCTGGACATCTTCCAATGTTGAAGGGAAGTAAGAATGAAGTGTCTTTCATCTGCTGCATTAAGTTTCCTTGGCCGACCACTGGTTGGTAGCCATGGGCAACTGCTCCACATTCTGTCTGCTCCAGTTTTATGTTGTGCTCAGCCTAGCCTTGTGTATGACCTGTGACATGAAATGGCCTTCCACAACCTCACTTTTTTGTAGCAGAGTTTGGCTGTTCCTCACCCAGGTTTAAACCTCCTACACAGCTGATCCTGTTTCAGTTAATGACTGTTTCAACCTACCTATGAAATTGATGATTAGCACCTGCTTGGTATAATTCGTTAATCATACACCTGACTCCAATCCTACAAAATCCCGGATTTTATGGAGGTGTGCAAGTGTAAAGGTGCCCATACACCTGCCGATTATCGTACGATAATCACGGGTGATACCGCGATCGTACAATAAATCGGCAGGTATATGGAAGGCGTGCGACCGTTGCTACTCTAAATGGTTTTCAGCTTAAAGCAACTCTGTTGTTAAGCTAAAAACAAATATTAAAAAGCCCTTCCTACAAAGGCAAGGATTACTACTTAGCTGCCCACTGCCCGTTCCACCATTTTTCACTCCCTTGGAGATGAGCTTGTTGTAGAATACGCTGCATCCGCAACACTTCTAGGTTTGTCAAATACCTGGCTTTCTCACTGCAAGCTGGCATGGTGTAGGTCATTCTGCAGGCCCCTACGTCACTATTGTGTTCTGTACTAATGGTCGCTTAGTAGGGGCCAGCAGAAGGAGCCACAGAGTGTAGAGGGAACTTGGCATTCCCCAATCATGAAGTATCAGGTGCTAGAGATTTTTGAGCAAGTGTTGCTCTTCTAGAGAACGGAGATTAGTGGCACAGGAGGCAGGGCAGGTAAGAATTAAAGTAGTATTAACAACAAAGGGGTACCCTGACCCAGTTTCACTCCCTATGGGATAACTGGTTGACATATCGTGGGCAGGACATCTCTGCGTAGATGGAGTCCACATCTGCTTCCTAGCGACCCTAGCGGTATGCACCCCATTACTTTGTCAAACATGTACAACCCTTGAATACATGGTGGAGTGACAGATATTTACGTTGCGATGTTCATGTAGTGTGTTCACGAAGCTCTCACAATAACCAATATCTAACGTGCTCTTTAATTGGCTGGCGGTATGCTCTTGTCGAATTACATTTTGTGATCCTTAAAGATATGGTTACTCCTTCTCTTTTCCCTTTTGTTTCTGTATGTTGTTTTTGTACTTTATAATATCGAAAAATGAATAAAAATTATCGGATTAAAAAAAAAAAAAAAAAGAAGTAGTATTAACCCTCTGGCAGCTGCCACCGACATATGGCATACGGCGGAACACAACCGCTTGCAGCTGGCTATGTCAGTATGTCATATGTCAGTGGCTTTTACCGTTCTGCTATAAGTTCATGGTCTCTTTATACCAGAACAGTTTCCCTGACAGTCTTCTGTACACGGGATCTATTTCTCCTCCGATCCCCGCTGCTCTCCCCCACCTGTATGGGCTGAGGCAGCGGGGATCCGAGGAGAAATGGCCAACGGAGGGGCGGAGAAGGGAGCAGAGACATTCAGGATGGCCGAGCGGTGAGCAGAGCAGAGCTGCCAGCTGTCAAACCCTGGATCCGAGCAGGTGCCGAGCAGGTTAGGATAGACCCCTGATATTTCTTCTGTTTGTTGAACTTATTATACTGGGGACTCCAAACCCCATGATCCCTTTTAGTGATGTATAGTTACACAGCTGCTGTCAAAAGAGTATTACCTTGGCGTTCTTTTATCAGAGTTCACACTTTCATTGTCACCTGCATTCAGAGAGGCCAGGGATAAAGTAGACACTGCAGAAGAGAAGAAAATGAAGTGATAAATATTATACTGCAATTTACCTTATAACTAACCTAAAGTGAACCTGTGACCAGGCAATGGACAGTCAAGTCTTTCCATAGTCTTAAAGTAGTATTAAACGGTTATTATACTGCTCTTTGCATTAGGGTCCACCTAACTGCAGATCAATATACATTTTATTTTTACTTTTATGTTGCATTGAGTTTTTCCTGCCTGTGTCCCTCAGATCAGCACTTCCCCCAACATGAGGTCGGGGAGCACGCCCTAGGCACAGCAGAAATCAATTTTTTCTGGACTCTATATCCAGTGATTCCTTTTACTCTGCTCACACTCAGTCGAACATTCTTATCATCTGCCCAACCCAGCACCAGAGTGCAGTAGAGGTAGTGTGCCGTACTGCACTGGGGCACCAGAGACCTGTACTGCACATGTGTCCCTGCTAAAGCAACATGTGTAGGTTCGATCCTGGTTGGGAGCATGCACATCAGGGTGGTCCGTGCAGACCCTGCAAGGCATAGGAGAAACTCCACACACTAGGCTTGCAAAGGCCGATTATTCTTTAAAGACTGCATAAGGGCATGGCATTATATAGTTTATGAAAGTAGTGCAGATTAAGGCGATCCGGGACATGATTGCTGCGCGGCACCGTTAATTTCAATAGGGTACATTCACGTGGCAAATCGCAGAAAAAAGGTACATGTACGTTTTTTTGTGATACATGGTGCGCGGCTGTCCGCGATCCGCCCGGCGCGACTGGGGTGCCATTAGAAAATAATATTAATAATGGTACCACCAGTGCGATCGTCACCGCTGGGCGACTACGTGACCACGCGACAATCCGCGCAGTATCGTGCACGATTGCCACGCGGTCACGGATTGCCCAGGTGTGAACCTGTCCGAAAGGCCAACCAATTTGAAGTATATGCGACTATTCTTTAAAAGCTCCACAAAAAAGGGGACAGGAAACCATGGTGATGTAAGATTTGCAGCTACAGTTATGCGTTTGTTTTTTATAATGCAGGGTCTAATAACACTTTACCCAGCAATACATGAGCTTTAACACAAGCCTCCTGACAGAAGAGTCACCATGCAGCGCTCTAATTTCTACATCTATTGAGGCATCTAGTGAGCAAATTTGGTGCTGGGCTTCTCGTTTAAAATATCTAAGTCTTTAACTTTAGAAGTGCCATTTTATATGTACCTGTGGCATAAATGGGTGTGAAATATGCCTAAAAGGGAAAAACACATGTTCACAAAACGCAAGAGCAACCCAAATAAAAACAAAGAACTGTTTATTCTGCCTTGTCAGGTTCTATTGCCTACAACTTTGATTCAAACACATTTCAAACATGATAAATAATATCCATAAGCCCTGAGAGCTGTTCACTGTACAGAGCCAGGTCTTCTGCGTTTTCCTTTAATACATCTCTTAAGGGGCCAATAGTACAGAATACATATGTGTACTATGTTTACTTTGTTTTAACAGAAGCATTATGTAACTTGGGCAAAAGGTTTGTTTTTTACGTATAGAAAAAAAAAACACAGCCAAAAAGTGTGTAAGTTGGGAAACATTTTAGTAGAGTGCCAATACAGTGGTGAGACCGTCTCTGTTCAGTGAATTCATGCTTTTAAATACCTCTATAGTACAGTTTATGTACCTGGAGGGCCCCCAGTGGGTGTTCTAGGTGATTCAGCCTGATGGTCTCTATGGATGGATTTGGGTCGAGGCTTTTTAGACTTGCTAAGGTTCATTCGAGGTTTTATAACAGAATCCATGTCTTGCATTAACTTGAGCTGCTTCCTGCGCATGTATTCCTGTTTGATATACTCTCGTCTAGCCTTCTCATCTTCTTTCTTATTTCGCTCTTCTTCCGACTTTCTTCTGTAGAAATAACACGTTTAGTTACCAATAGTACTGTTTCAATAATGACCAGCTCAATGTTATATATTACAATTGTAAGAAGGGTTAAAGTTTATCTAAACCCAAGAACGCAATGTAATAAAAATGCTGCAGAATTAACCACCATTATGGTGGTTGCATTAGGTTTCCTTTTTTCACCTGGTGATCCTGCCATTAACACATTTCCTGTCCCCTTACGCTCATCTCTATAACATAGGTGGAGGTGTTCTGTAGTTCACAGAGAGAACTGGGAATAATCTTAACTGATGACAGTACTGTATAGCAGTAGCAGAGTAACACAGGAAGTTACGTCACCAGACTAGATTTTTGGAAGGATCAAAAGGTTTTTTTTGTTTTAGTTTTCTGGAACAGATATAACAAAAGTCTTTCAATGGTTTATTTCACGAACTACAAAGGAGCAAATAAGAGTACATTGTTTAGGATTACATACACTTTAAATCCACACACACATCAAAGCAAAAAGTAAGATGGTGTTTATTATGTTAAATATGGTTAAGCCAGCCAAAATGTTACTTTTATATTTTTTGTTAGTTTTGAATATAAGAGGGAAGGTTGGATGAAGGTTGCACTTCCTACCCTGTGCTAGGAGGATGACAGCCAGTTTACCTGCACATTTTAAAAAGTCAACAAATGCTGATCCCAAATGTCTATCCTCACAAGTTTACTTAAAGATCTGTACTTGGCACTCCCGGACTGAGGCTGAAGCATGTTTTAAAGCAGAACGGAAGTGGAGGGGAGTGGGGCACAGGAGCATTTGCCAAAATGAGCAATACTTGCACGCTATGGCAGAATAAACCTGGCCATACACCAGGGGCATCCCGAGGCCAGGTGTCACCCCGCTGTGACGTCACGCATGCAGCCATCTTGGTGACACCTGCTGGCGGCCATCTTGGTGATGGACGTTGGCAGAGAGAGGAGAGGACGTTCACCCAGCGGGATAAGGTATGCAGTCGGTCCCCTGCTCTCTCGTGCAACTGTTGGACTCTCGATCCATGAGCGAGTGCCCGACTTTTCAGAGGGGGTGACACCAAAAGGACTGTCAGTCCTTTTGGTGTCACCTCTCCAATGGTGTCACCCGGGTGACGCCACTGGCATACACCTTAACATTTTTCTTGTTCAGCCTGTGATAAACTACTTGATTCCCCCATCCAGCTAAAGAACATGGATGGAGGAATTTCCCCTGTCAGCTATTGACTGCAAATGATTGGCTGTAGTGACTATGTGGTTGACAATTTTCCTGCCGCTCCTTCAACAAACGTTAATTGATAAATCTAATTATTGCACAGTGCAATATATCATAAGGTAAATTTTAATTCCAATCAAAACTTCAGACCAGGTACTGAAATTGTTCAGACAGACCTAAAGCATCCGTTATTCATCCAAGCATTATTTGTGGACCATGATGCCAAATCAAATACTTCTGAAATCTTTGGTGCTCTGAGAATGCCATGCATGCTTATGCAGTCCGGGTGTTCCCATGCCTGCCAATTGTCAGAACACACCAAAGACAAAACCAAAGTCACCCATTCAGAATCCCCTTCATCAGGGTGCTAAATCTGGCAGCAATCGCTTATCCTTTTACAGACAAATTGGGATAACACCTACTATGCGTTTGTTATACTATCACATCCACATTGAATACTTTAAAAAATATATAGACAAATGCTGTTTACGTGCTTAAAAAATCCATCCTAGCCTCCCTCCTATGTAATGTTAAAGAGGGGGCTATGCGAAGTTAAGCTCACTCTATTTAACCCTGTCTGTATGGTGCTAGCAGATTTCATTATCAGTTCTAAACTAGATTTGAACACGGTCTGTGTTAATAAAGGGCTAAAGGCTTGGAGGCATTGTGTGTTAACGAGAAGAAACTCAGTTTGACTAGCAAACTGCTCAGAGTAGCTTGGAACCTGCACAAAGGCCTTCAAAGAAACACTTGAGAGTTAAGAAAAAAAAAAAAAACAGAGGGGTTTTCTTAAATTTGACTGCAAAAGTAGAAATACGCTTTAAGATAAACAGAATTGCTTGAATTTCATTAAAGCGGTTCTTCTGCCACCAGAAGCTTTTCAGTAATTCTCAGTAGACAGTGGCACCGAAGAATAGATTACCTGCAAGTATCTTTGATGTTACCGTAAGGTAAAAGCTACATGTTCTAAATAAATACACAGTATATAGAAGCTATAGAGGTTCTTTTCATGTTGCACAGCAAATAAGCATGCTTTTTTTTCTTTAACTGCTTAATGAACTGAATAAAAGTATATCCAAAACCATGTTTTAGGTTTAGACAGAGTAGGAGATAGTTAACGCCCTCTCAGTTGTTGTTTTTTTTTCTCATAGACACTTAAGTTAGAGAAAAACCTCTTCACAGTGAGGGAAAATACCCTCTTACACAATTGTCACAGCAACAAGTGTCCCAAATGGAAGATATCCCCTCTAGTGTTGCAGTGGCAACTCAAAAATCTGGATTGCCTCTCACTGTTGTTCCTAGTAACCACTGTCACTGTCAATAGCAAACCTAACTGGGTTGATATTTCTTCCCACTTTACCCAAAGCTAAAAACAAACATTCATGCAGCTATACATTCTGTTGCCTCAAAAGCCACTCTTCCAACTCCCTACTCCCCTTCACATGTAGACATTCTTCTACATTAGGCAAATCATCTTGTTTACATGCCAGGGCAAGTACTGCTCCTGCTGCACTTCTGGCCCACTTGGATGTAAGTGGTGTAGGTCTCATGGACCCCAGTGATGCAGTCAAGTCTCCGCCTGACCATTCACAAAATGAAGCCTGGATGCTGCAGACATGACTGTACTGGTAGGGTTATTGAACCCAGAGTTGAGCTTTATTTTAGGTAGGGGCCTTTTTCTATGTAGATAACACCTGTAAAAGGTCCTCTGTTCTTACCTGGCCTCTTCTTTCTTCATCTCTTGCTCCATTTCCTGCTCCATTTTCTTTTGCTGATTTTCACGCTCTCTCCGAAGCCTCTTCTCCAGCAGAGCAGCGCGTTTGGCAGCCATATCATTTTCCTCTTTGTGATCATCCTGTGGCAAAATAACAGATGTAATATGAACCCATCCAGCTCACTTTGGTTCACATTTCCTGTACTACAAAAGCCACAACTATTTAACTTCTGCTAAAGAAATTTAAAATGTAAGACACCTTGCATGAAAATTTTCAAACATTCATGCAGGATACGTGTTGGTACCCTTGATCCCTTTCTTATTTTTCGTATAAAGTATGGTTAACACTTTTGCCTCATAGCAATACGGGTCTGTTTCAGTTCCGGCCAGGGACACCATCTTTGTTCTGTGTACGCCTGTCTGGATTTACTTGCAAAGTCCCAAAACATTCTGGAAACATTCTGGAAGATTAATTGCCTTCCACCCACAAAAATTCATAGCAATACATACTGTACATAATAGAAGAACTTGTAGAAACATGCTTTAGATATACAATATATTGCCAAAAGTATTGGGCCGCCTGCCTTTACACGCACATGAACTTTAATGGCATCCCAGTCTTAGTCCGTAGGGTTCAATACTGAGTTGGCCCACCCAGCTATAACAGCTTCAACTCTTCTGGGAAGGCTGTCCACAAGGTTTAGGAGTGTGTCTATGGGAATGTTTAACCATTCTTCCTGAAGCGCATTTGTGAGGTCAGGTACTGATGTGGGATGAGAAGGCCTGGCTCGCAGTCTCTGCTCTAATTCATCCCAACGGTGTTCCATCAGGTTGAGGTCAGGACTCTGTAGGCCAGTCAAGTTCCTCCACCCCAAACTCGCTCATCCATGTCTTTATGGCCCTTACTTTGTGCACTGGTGCGCAGTCATGTTGGAACAGGAAGGGGCCATCCCCAAACTGTTCCCACAAAGTTGGGAGGATGAAATTGTCCAAAATGTTTTGATATGCTGATGCATTAAGAGTTCCCTTCACTGGAACTAAGGGGCCAAGTCCAACCCCTGAAAAACAACCCCACCCCATAATCCCCTCTCCGCCAAACTTTACACTTAGCACAATGCAGTAAGGCAAGTACCGTTCTCCTGGCAACCATCAAACCAAGACACATTTATCGGATTGCCAGACAGAGAAGCGTGATTTGTCACTCCAGAGAACACACCTCCACTTCTCTAGAGTCCAGTGGCAGCGTGCTTTACACCACGGCATCTGACGCTTTGCATTGCACTTGGTGATGTAAGGATTGGATGCAGCTGCTCAGCCAGGGAACCCCATTCCATGAAGCTCGCTACGCACTGTTGTTGTGCCAATCTGAAGTGTCGCTATTAACTCTGCAGACAGTTGGCGACTTATGCGCACTATGCGCTGACCCTGCTCTGCCATTTTACGTGGCCTACCACTTTGTGACTGAGTTGCTATTGTTCCCAGTTGCTTCCACTTTGTTATAATACCACTAAGAGTTGACCGTGGAATATTTAGTAGCAATAAATGTCACGGAACACCTGAATCCAATGATTTGGAGTGCTGTCCCAATACTTATGGCAATATAGTGCATCTCAGAAAGAACTCCCAAAAATAGAACAAATTATATAAAATTACGCAATATTATTATCTATCCATTCCATGTGCCAGTGATACGACAACATTACTGCCACACAGTGGATTCTAACATAGACAATCTGCAGAGATCTCTGTATATATATACTTGAATAACAGGAAGATTAGATTACATGCATTGCTTAAGTCAAATTTTAAATACAGGTGCTTACAAGCATGTAATCAGAGCTGGAATTCCTTATTTGAGTCTATTAACAAGAAATGCTGTTATCTGAACCTAAAGTTGGTGACCTTAGTTAAAGGTTGCCCCCAGCAAAAAGCAAATATAAAACGTATACTTAGCATTCCTGATTAAAAAAAGAAATACACATCATACAAAATACTTTTTTTAAAATTATTAATACAAACAATATAGCTTTAAAATGTTGCATTAGACAGACTACCCTGTGTCACTCAAATCACTTCTCTATATAGAATGCTGTGTTCTTCTGTCACCTCCTCTGTACTTCCCCTATGTATCTGTTACACAGTCATCATTCACTTCTTTTATATCAACAAAACCCCAAAAGGGATTGACAACACTTATACTGCTCAGAACAAAAGTCTCTCAGTGTTTTCAGATTAAACAAAGCAAAAAAAAAACCCCAACTATTTACATTTTTGACCAGTCATTCACCCTAATTTTCAGAGAGCACAAAGCTATGCTAAGAGAAATATGAAGGGTAATACTGACTTCTCCTTCTGAAAATACTAATTGCCTAGAAGTCTTGTTAACTGGCTTCAAAACGTCCTCAGTCATTGACACAGAACAAACATGTCAACAGGGTTGTCTGACTTCACTGGCTCTATGCTTGTTTCAGGTTAGTGGTTCTTGATGACACAGGATAAGCAATGTTACTAGGCAACTAGAATTTTTAAATCAAGGTCAAACAATAATATCCCTCATCAAAAAACAGTGATGGGGGCGTGGCCGGGATGTGAAGCAGCGCGGACGTGTCTGAGGGAGCTCCGCCGCTACATTGAGCTTTATCCGGCTTTAATCCTGCAGATTCGGCTTCTGTATTACTCACCCGAGCTCCGGTGGATGTCCGGAGCAGGGGGGATATGCCCTCTAGGTCTGGCAAGCATGGCAACACTCCAAAAAGAGGCTGGAGAAGATCCCATCGTGCGGCCTCGTGTCCCACCGCCGCCATCTTGCCTCCGTCCCCTGCTCCCTCTGAGTGCTCACGCCGGACCCTGTGCATGGAGGGAGAAGCTGCAGGCGTTGCTGAAGCGGCGCTGGCCCCTCCGGAGCAGCCCGTCTCCACACCGAAAGCAAGTAAGGAGAGGGCTGAAACAAAATCTATCCTGGAGGCCATAGAGGGCTGTAAAATCGCCCTCACGGCCCAAATCGATCATCTGCCGGTGGAGTGCACCTTGATCAGACATGATCTGGACAAAATTCAGGGCACGGGTGTCTGGGGTGGAGGACTCGGTCCAGGAGCATGCTACTGTCATACAAGACCTGCAACGCACTGTGAAGACGCTGGCAGCAAAGGTAGATGACTCCGAAAATAGAATGCGGCGCAATAATGTGCGAATAGTGGGCCTGCCTGAGGGAGCGGAGGGCCAGAGGCCTGCTCAATTTGCAGAGGCCTTCTTTAAATCTGTGCTGGCCCTGGAGGAGCTGCCCCCCACCTTTGTGGTGGAGAGGGCGCATAGGGTGCCCACTGGGAAGCCCGTCCCTGGGGCACCACCAAGACCTTTTCTGGCGCGCCTTCTCAATTACAGGGACAGGATACTGGCGGCTACCAGAACGCGTCCGGACCTTCGCCATGAGAATGCCTCCGTCCACCTATTTCCTGACTAGGCGGAGCAGAACCTTTGTGGAGGTGAAACGCCGGCTCAGAGAAAGAGGCATCCAATACAACATGCTGTATCCGAGTAGAGTGAGGGTTCCCCACTCTGGCACGGTCCACATGTTTGATTCGCCTGGATCCGCTACTGAGTCCTCCCCAGCAGCCGTTTCCTGTTGATACGTACCCTATCTGGCCTGCATGGGAAACTTTTGGAATATCCAGATATTGGCTCGTCCTGCTGATCTACTCCTGCACTGCTTGCCGACCGAGGCCAACGACCAGTGGCCAAGCACTGCTTGATTATCCTATTGGGCTGCGCTTCATGTGGGCCTCAAGTTCTACAGTTGTTATTTTTTGGTTCCAGTTTTGTCCTTTTTCTTTTATCCTGCTTTTTCATCGCTCCGGGACAGATGCTGCATTGCCCGACTGGGGCTGGGTATCGTCAACGACCGAAGAGACCGCAGGGACTGGGGATGGTGGGTATGTCTTGAATGCACTATCACAGATATAATATGCTAGACCTAGAGGTGTCTTATCCGGTCTTCCACAGCGTCTATCATACAATGTGGGGGCGATGGCTCGCTCCCTCAACAGCTGGACACCTACGATTTTTTGAGTTTGTTTTTCTTTTTGTACGATTTTTCATCGCTGCTGAACACTTGTCCATGTTCCTAGGATACACCCCTTAGCTTAGGTGGGGTATCCCTGACTGTTTTTTGGTCTAAACTTCTCTGGACAATGTTATTGTTAAGTTTACTATGTTCCCCAGGGAAGAGGGGTTTTGTGGTTAATTTTTGGTACTGGGGGGTTGTGTGTCGCCCCAAATCTCGCCTACACCGAGAAGGAGTGACATTCATTCATGTGTATTGGCAGATGTGATGGGGTTGGATGACATTAAAGTGTTATCCTGGAATGTACGGAGATCCATGGTATGTAACTATTTGAAGCAACTGAACCCACATATAGTAATGCTGCAGGAGACGCATCTGGATGGTAGTAAGGTGTTGGCGCTGAGACGCCCCTGGATACAGAGGATGGTGCATGCAACCTATTCCACGTATTCCCGGGGCGCCTCAGTGCTCATTAGTAGATCGCTTCCATGTACTGTTCTACATACAGTCACAGACCCTGGCGGGCGGTTTGCAATTGTGGTACTTGATATCCAAGCAACTCAGCTAGCGGTGGTCAGTGTGTATATACCACCGCTATTTCATGTGCAGATTTTGTATACCATCCTGGACAAACTTGCTCCCTACCTCCCACTGCCCGTTCTAATTTCAGGGGATTTTAATAATATCCTGGACTCCACTAACCCGGCTCGGCCGCCGGGTACTGAATTAAGGTCCTAGGCCGAGACTGCTACGTCGGAAGAGGTGTGGAGGCGGAAGCACCCTGGTATCAGAACTTATTCCCATCTGTCTCATGTCCATGGCTCCTCAGCCCGGATAGATATGGCGTTTGGTAACCAGGCCATGCTGGGTATGTTGTCTGGGGCTGCATACTTACCTGGTGGCCTGTCGGACCATGTCCCACTGTCTATTACTTTTTCAGTGCCCGGAGGCAGGAAGTTTTCACCTGAGTGGCTGCGGGAGGAGGGAGTGGCAGCAATGCTGATCTATTGGCACGTTAATGTGGGCACAGCGTCGGCACCTGTGGTTTGGGACGCCTTTAAAGCTACCACCAGGGGAGAATATATTTCTGGTATTAAGGCAGCTCGCAGGGAGCAGAGTGCTGCCCTTACATTACTCCAGGATGAGGAAGCATGTTGCGCAGCGGCATATGCAGACTCCCCTGGCGAATCCACGGTGGCCGCACTTAAGAAGGCAAGGCGTTCCATTAGTTTGCATCATGTGGGGCTGACGCAGTGCTCCTGGCGGCTGTCAAGGGAAAATTTGTTTGAAAAAGGGGACAAAAACGGTAAACTCTTAGCAATGTTGGTAGCGGAACAGAGGTCACTAACTAACATTCCAGCCATTCTGACTACCACAGGGATGAGGGTAACGGACCCCCCTCTTATTCTAAAGGAGTTCCATACCTACTACAGAGATCTTTACTCTCACATTCCTGAGTATGACCTGGGCGCCCTGCAGGACTTGTTGGGTGGGCTTACCATCCCACAATTGGCAGGTGCGGACAGGGATTTCCTGGAAAGGCCTATTACCTTGAAGGAGGTACAGCGGGCAATAGCCTCATTCCCTAATGGCAAGTCCCCTGGGCTGGACGGCTTCCCGGCTGAGTGGTATAAGATGTATGTTGATTCTATTGGACCCAGGCTTAGGGACCTTTATGTGGATTGCCTGGAGGTGGGGGTTCTGGCCTGACCCCTTCAGGGATGCCCATGTGGTGCTGCTGCCGAAGCCGGGGAAGGACCCCCTCTTGTGCTCCTCATATAGGCCAATTGCATTGCTCAATATGGACTTAAAAATACTGACCAAGGTACTGGCAGCGCGTATCTCAAGTGTTCTGGGGTCCCTGGTCGATATTAACCAAACCGGGTTTATACCGGGCAAGTCTGACACCAACCTGCGCAGACTGTTCACTAATCTTCAGTTAACCCATGACAACGCGGGTTCAAGAGCCTTGGCCTCGCTGGATGTGGCCAAGGCTTTTGACTCTGTTGATTGGGGATACATGTGGGAGGTACCAAGATTGATGGGATTTGGCCCTGGGTTTCGCAGATGGATCAGTATTCTGTATAGCTCCCCTAGGGCAGTCCTCAAAATTGGATCGCTACTGTCTGAGGCTTTTGTGATCGAGAGGGGCACTCGCCAGGGATGCCCATTGTCTCCAAGATTGTTTGCCTTGGTGATGGAGCCCCTGGCGATTGCTCTCCGCTCGTCACGAGGGATCTGCGGCCTAAGAATAGGGGGTATAGAGGAAAGACTAGCGCTATACGCGGACAACCTTATCCTTTTCCTGGCAGATGCGGGCCTGTCACTACAGGCCGCACTGAGAATTTTAGACACCTTTGCAGGTTTCTCGGGGCTGCGGGTAAATTGGTCTAAGTCCCATGTAGTCCCCCTAGATCCACTGACCCGGTCAAGTGCAGATAGCTCCCTCTCTTTACAGTGGGTTGAAAAAATTACTTATCTAGGAGTCCATCTCACAAAATCGGTTAGGGATTATTACACCCTCAATCTTCTCCCGCTGTTGTCCCAGCTTAAGACACGGGTGGAGTCTTGGAAACATCTCCCCCTGTCCCTGGTGGGCAGGGTTAACCTGATCAAAATGAAAATATTGCCTGTCTTCCTGTACTATATTAGGAACTCCTCAGTCTGGGTACCGCAATCCTTTTTCCGGAAAATGAATACCCTTATTAGCTCATTTCTGTGGAACTCCAGAACTCCCAGGATTAAGTTGTCCATCTTACAGGAGCCATGTTGTAGGGGGGGTCTGGCGGTCCCAGATTTCAAAAAGTATTATTTAGCTGGTCAAATGGTGGTACTGCACAAGTGGCTCACAGGTGACTCTGGGGACGCAGCAGTGGTGGTGGAGGCTGCTTCGCTGGGATCATATGCAGCTCTGGCTGGACTTCCTTTGAGGGGTCTCAGGGCTCCATATGAACTCATGGTGTCTATGAGAGCTACGATTATGGCATGGTCGTCCGTTTGCAGGCAGCTGAGTCTGACCCCTCAGGGGTGGTCTCCGCACACTCCCATCTGGAAAAACCCGCTTTTGTCCCACTTCTTAAATATACCCAATTTTCATGTCTGGCCTGGAATGGGAATTAAAACGCTGGGAGAGCTTACATTAAACAATACACTTCTAACCTTTGACCAACTACAGGAGAAATACCACGTCCCTAGGGCCTATCTGTTCCGCTACCTACAGTTGCGACATGCCTTCCAGGGCGAATTCGGGGGGTTGACTTGCGTAGTACAGATGTCTCGTCTGGAGACATTTTTGCGCAGAGAATGCCTCACTAAACCGCTGTCAGAGGTGTATAGGCATCTTTTTCAAACATCCTTGGTACATGCACTTAAATGTAAAGGCCCTTGGCTGGCTGATGCACCTGCGCTTACGGATGAGGACTGGGAGGATGTGTTGGATTACCCCTTTAGCCACTTGGTGTCTGCCCGAGATAAGCTCATTCAATTTTAAATCTTACATCGGGTGTACTACACTCCGGCGAGACTAGCCCGCATTTATGGGGGCAGCGGCTTTGAGTGTTGGAGTTGCTCTGATTCACCGGCGGGTCTTATCCACATTTTGTGGACCTGCCCGCGAATCAGACCATTCTGGCTCGAAGTTACTCATTTTATGTCACAATTTGTTGATGTGCCCTTTAATCCTGATGTAAGTACATGTATTTTAGGGCTAAAGGAACACCTGGTTCCTACCATTGCGAGACAGACCTTCATGGGAATTTTGTTATACTGTGCCAGGAAGTTGGTGATATTGCGGTGGAGATTATGTTTATGTTGATAAGAAGTAAACCCCATGGTTGGGAATGGTCAGTACGGGGTTGAATTGTTGCACTTTATGTGTGCTCTCACGGCTGTGAGTGCGAATGTTGTGGCATATTGTTACTTGTAAACAAAAGCTTTAATAAAAATTATTTTTCAAAAAAAACAGTGATGCCTTCCATCAACTGCAACACATTTCTCCAATAGGTAATATGACAAAGAAATAAACGCAAGAAATCTATTGGAAGAGTAAGTCTACCAACCTTAAAAAAGAAGCCACAGCAAACTTTCTGGTCTTCAGTGACAGGATCTTTCTCTGGTTCCACTTCATCCCCTTCAGGTACCTCATTTGGAGGCTGTAACTTTGAGAGGGGGACTTCAATCAGACTTGCATTTTTGGAGGTGGAGAAGCTTCTCTGGCTAAATGTTTCATCATTTGGCGTTACACATACAGTTTCTTTAATAGGCTGGGATAAAACCTCAGACACTGTTGATTTAATTGGCTTTTTCTCTACTTCTATTCTATTTGCAGAAGTTTGATAAGAATACATTCCTTTCCAAGATTCCTCATTTCTGGAAATGTCACTACCAGTCTCTAGATCATACTTAACTTCCTGCTCTAGTGTTCCAGGATTTTTATCATCTCCAAAGTATACAAATGATCTTGTCTGAGTCTGGCTTGGAGAAAACCTTCGCAGACGAGGAAGACTATCTACGGACTGTGGAGGTGTTAAAGTACGGTTTAAAGGTGTTATTTTAAGTTCATTGGGACGAGGAGTTTTCTGGGGTTTTGAAGAGAAGGACCCAGTCCTTTTCACTGAAGCCTGGGGTGATCTGTGAGTTTGTCGAGGCGATTCCATGGTAAAACAAGGGACTGGAGACCATGTAACAGAGGGTTTTGTTGCTGGTTTTGTCTCTCGCTGTAGCTGCTTCTGTGGGGAAGGTTGGGGTGGAGCGATAACCCAGGCCTGCTTCTCCCTCATTTGCATCAACATGCCCTGCTGCAAAGCTAATCTCTGCATTTCCTGCTGGAGAAAGTTCAAGGAGGAATTTAATTTTTCAATAGAATGTGTATATTCCACTACATCCACCTCAGACATGTTTTCTTCACTTGGACTTACAAGACTCCAAGCTTTCTCAGTATCTATGGGCGATGTTGGGGATTTCAGCCATCTAGGTGATTTATTACTGTTTACTTTTATTCTTTCACTGCTTCCATGAAAAGTTCCTGGTTCCTTTGCTTCAGATGTTCCATGAGGAATCTTCTCATTTTCTGAAATTCCCACTTCTTCTTGTAAGGGAGTGATTCCATCTCCCTTCTTTTTAACCACTGTGAGAAATGCAGTTCTACCCATTTTCTGCCTCTGGCGAGTAAATGCCGCCTCTACTTTTTTCTTCTGTGCTTCGATAGCCCTTCTTTTTTCTTCCAATTTCATCCTCAGCTGAACAACTTCAGATGCCAACAGCTGTGTAGTGTCTTTGCTCGGTGGTAAAGGGTTTTCCTCTTGAATTTGGCCAAATGCAAACACCTGAGGTATGTTTAGTTCAGAACCTTCAGGGGTAGTTTTTTGGGAACTGCTTCCACTACTCCTCCCATCTGCATTATTCAGTTTTCTGAACTTCTGCTCTGCAAAACTGGTCATTTTGATTCCAGAGCTGGAAGACGCTGAACTGCCTGCCTGTGATTTGCCACTTACTGAGCTGGGACAAGGACTAACTGCTTCTCTAAGATTGGAGTTAAGATTAACATAGTCCTGGTGCAGTTTCAGAGGGTCTTCCATGTCAGAATCTAAACTTACAGTATAATCTTTCAAAGAAGAATCTTCATCCATGGTTTCAGGAATATCTTCTGAAGGAACATGAATTCCAGTATCTACTTCTGTATTGTCGGTAACAGGACTTAATGTTTCTTTTTTCTCAAACAGGTCTATATTCGTGTCTTTAAGACCTTGTAGGGATAGCTGCAGGCTCAAATTTACATCATTGCTATGAAGGAAAAAACCATTGTTCATCTGATCACCTATAACAGATGTCTTTTCTGGGTTGTGAATTATCTCAAGTGCTTCTTCTATGCTTGGGGGTTCTACTGGAGAGTCCAGCTGATCTATACTGACCCTATTTTCAACTGGTCCATTTGGCCTCATGTTTTCATCACCATCAAATGAGTCCAACTGGTTGCTGGTGGGTGATAAATCATTATAGTTTTCTGGAACAGAAATCCATTCTTCACTAATGCCAGCTGACTCCCCTTGCCCATTAATTGGCTGGAAGGAAAGATTTTTACGGATGTGTTTGGGTACCCGAGTGAGATTGAGAGAGAAGCCTTCATTACTAATTGACCTTCGGATTGGTCTGCTTGGGGTTGTGACTTTCATTCCATCCTCTTTGTCAAAAGATATATCAAAAGACACACCATGCAATGAAGATCTAAAATTAGAAAAATATTTTAAAAAGACATGATAAAGCAACCTTGGGGCAATAGGTGAACTACACAATATGACAGAACTGACATGCACCAATCTTTTAAAAGGAGGTAGTAAAATCTTAACCTGGGATAAAAATGCCATATATAAAGCAATCCTGGACTATTAAGTGTGATGGCAGAGTAATCCAACTGCATTCATTATTATATACACATGGGAAAATTACACCTCCTGCTTCTGAAACAAGTTAACCAATGTATTAACAACTTTTACAATATTCTTTATTGGATTGTGAGGTAACAGAAGGAAAACTTTCACTTTCAACATTAGAAAGCCTCTTGGGCACAAAATCATGTATAATGTAGAGACAAGTCATGGTATCATCAATATAGTGTATATACGGTGCCAGGCCTTAGGTGTATTCCTTCTTATAGGCTCTTGACGTTGGGTTGTTGGAGTTTCCATAAGTAATAAAACAATTTAGCAAGTTGAAAAAGCATAGTGTTATGGAAGAATAGAGCAGTGTAGGAAGGGGGATAGAGTTGAAGAGAAGATCGGGAAAAGATTGTGAGTAATAAGGTGAAAAAGATAGAGGGGAGGGTGTAGTGAGAAATGGGTGGAGGATGAAAAAGAGGGAGAACACAGAAAAGAAAAAAAAAAAAGCAGGAGGAGGGGGTTTTAGTGGTGCAAATCCTGGCCTGAGGGACCACATAGGTATTAAATATGTAAGGAGTAGTGAAGATATATAATGGTGATGCTGATGGGATTGTAAGACATTTGTGTTGGGTTTCTCATGGGTCTCCCAGAAAATGTTCTCATGCTCGTAAAAGTTAAAAAGGAGTAGATGTCAGTAAAAACCTTGCATACCCACCAACGACAACTACTAATATAATAATTTCTAGTTCTAAAAGGAATCATTTTTACAAATTCTTCCTTCTTAATTTGTATGCATAGATACAGTTAGCATAGCAAGGAGGTAATAAGTGTAGCTTGAATGCGGTATACTGGTTTGCAAAAAGGCTATCAATACTGATTATCTATATTTAGCATAAAAAATTTGCATTATCTTCAGCCAATTTAAAACTGACTGGAGACCGGAATATATTGCAAATATTTTTCAGCACACTGAATGTAGTTCAAGTCTTCAGTTAAAATAAAAAGTTGAAATTAAAATGGAGCGAAATAATGAATGAAGAGACACGGGGGCGAATTTATAAAAACTGAAGTAGACAAAATTTGGAGCAGCTGTGCATGGCAACCAATCAGCTTCTCTCTTCAGTTTGGTCAGTTAAGATTTGAAAATGAGAGAGAGGCTCTGATTGGTTGCCATGCACAGCTGCTCCAGATTTTTTCTGCTCCAATTTTGATAAATTCCCCTCACATGTGAACATAGTCTAAAAGAACACTACCCAAAATGAGGCTGAGCGTTTCATAATGATCACTAAACACACTCAAATATAAAAACAAAGCTTGCATATAAAGCCTACTGAAAATGGAAATGTATTAAGATTTCTCAATTTACTTACCGCTTTTCCTTGGGCCAAGTTCCAACCTGTCCATCCACATATGACATAGATGACGACCTTCGAATAGCAGCTAAAAATGCAAATATAGGAAACAAAAAAGTGTTACATGTATTCTCAAAAACATTCAGACCTAGAAGTAAACATACTTTTTCCTTCTTCCATACATACACACGTAATGCTAAATGTATAGCTCGCCATACACAGCTATATAGGCATTTTAAAGAAGATAAATCAAGCCCCAGCACCTTTCCCTTGACAAATTGCCAAACTGGCAGAACTCTTTAGGTTCCGATGCCATGTTTCACATTTAAAAGCTCATTCTTTATACAATGCTATTCTTACATATCAAGCAGTTACCCACCATAGCAACCAACCAACCAAAACTCGCTTACTGAAATTGTGAGCTCTTATTGAACACTGGTTGTTTATCTTGCGATCTTATAATTATGATAAACACAAAAAAGCAAGTTGATAATTTAGCCACCTACGTCCATGTCCAAAATAAACACTCATAAAGAGACTCTTGAACTATATAGTGTTAAATACACAGCCTTGACATTAGCTGATCTGCAACCAAATTGATCAAGCTGGATCCTTACCTTGACCAGGCAATGATGGTACATCTTGTGGGTTTCTGAAATAAAATAAAAAAAGTAATTACTAATAAATGTATTAAGAGGCGAAGCAACCTAATCCCCTAATTGGATATACTCTAGCACATTCTTGTGTCATTTCTTTGCCAAACAACCCCGCAAAGGATATAGGTTTACATGTAATTTGGGAGTGATGGATACTCGGTTGCCAATATTGGTGGTATTCGATTATGACCATCAAAAAGGGAACATCTGTATTTCCCCTATACCCCTCAATGAGAGCCGTAGTAAGAATCAATTTCACAAAGTAGTCCATAAAGTGCAGCGGCAGTTAGGTATGTGGAAATTCTAATACAACACATGCAGTGGGGTAATGCCTCTCTTCCAGGCTTACTCAGATGTCCTTCCTCCCTTCGGAAGGGGCTATTTGCATGTGAATTCTCCCTACCAACACTATGGGCCCTATATAATACATCTGAGTGCAGATAATGCTCTCCAGAGGACACCTGAGTGTTTACTCCTGCATTGTACAAGTCATTTAGACTGTTCTCTACAGAACAGTCTGTGATAAATGTGCACATATTGCTGTGTTTTATAAATGTGCCAGAGTATATTTTTTTAAGACCCCCACTCCGGAGTATCCACTCCTGTGGTGCTTCACATACTGACCAGACCTGCCAACTCTGTGCTAAGGCTCAGCAGGCTGAAACATGTGTGATAGATAAAACAGGCGGGTAGATAAAACATTAACCGGTATACATTGAACTAAGCTGTGCATTTTGATATCCAATCCCAATAATAAAGCAAATAGATCTTACATGTACCTGGCATTCGAGGAACTTCCCAGTGTATGCCTCCTGTTAAAGTGCGATGATTTTGAAGACTTCAATGGGTCTAAAAACAGTATTGAAAAGTGAAACATGAACAAAGGCAGATTTATTTTTCTTCGCAATAAAAAACAACATTTTAGAATCACAGCCCTGGATACGGCTCAATAAATATCTAATTCTTAACACATCAGTGAATGTGTTTTACATATACAACACATGCATGTTCAAAGCTACATTTTGCCAATGGTGATTCTAATGCTGTACGCTTTTTTACAGAAGTGTTACATTTGGGTACACTTAATTTAATGTAGATTTTTTTTATCAATAAAAGTTTTTTTATTGGTTTTTCAGAAATACAAAATAGTTACAGCACATGGGCTATGAATATATAGTTACAAGCCAACAGAAGTTATATGTATACAGAGCTATAGCTTCCATTTTTGTTCCACTGTTCCCAGGTGTCTCATGGCAGAAGGCCAATCTGACACTAAACCTACAGTGCCACTCTGCCAATCATACATTTCTTTATTATTAAAATATAAAATTTAACATTTTTTCCAGCCCAGCAAATCCAGCGTACTCATGCTGGAAACTGCTGTTCAGATTGAATCAAACACTAGATATTACATATTTGAGCATTGTCAAGTAAAAGATCTTACACAAGAACTCCAGGATTTATTCAAAATTAACCCTTGCAGTGGAGTTGCTCCCACTTAACAAGGGTTAAGTGCTCATCTTGGTCTAAGAGTGAAAATAAAGAAGATATACTTGACTTACTTGATCCTCAGTCCTGTGGCAGTGACTGCTCCTCACCTCTGCACCTCCACTTCAGCTGTGATATGTACCTGGACCTGCATGAGATGTGATGACGTCACAGGTCCTTAGACCTGTGGAGCTCGGGGGAGAATAGGCTGCGGAGGACCTATTTAGCAGCCAAGCGGGACGGAGGTCAGGTGGGTATATATTCATCTCTAGTCTAAAAGGAGCTCTTAACCCTTGCAGTTCAGGGGTAGCCCCACTACAAAGGTTAATTTTAATAAATCTTGGAGTTCTTCTTTAATGGAGTTCTTCTTTAATTTTAACCTAATAAAATGCAGCAGTGGGGTATAAGCAGCCATTCAAGCAAAATATCCCAAACATGTAACTAAATTAAGTGTATTATGAATTACCCCCTAACCACTGTGAAGGTCTGATCAGCAGGAAGTAATGGGGATGATTTATAAACTGTGCGCTCAGCTCTGCACTGTGCAAAGGGGATTTGCAGTACTGTATGGCAACTAGATGGAGCTGAGGAGCATAGGAGGAGTTCCACCTTGTGACCATACAGCTACTTTGTGAAAGGTTTATAAAATAAGCCCCTAGACTGTTGCGCATACAGCCAATAAAGTTGGTTCCACTAATATAAACATTAAAATACATTTCTTATCAGCAGCATTAATGGTTTCAGCATAGCTTAGATCACGTTTTGTGAGCCATTCAAAGTGTGTCTAAACCCCAGAGCAAAAATGTAATATATGGCAGCTTACCAATCCGTAGAAGTGATGGCTGTATTCGTTTTATTAATCTAGGCTATTTTTTCCTTTATTTTCACCTGGTCGTCTGGCCAGTATGTCTGTTTTTTTCAAATTCCTTTAACCTCCCTGGCGGTATGATTATCTCAGTATTTTTTCACTTTTGAATTTCTCGCTGGTTCCGCCCCCCTGCAATGCCGGCGCTCGCAGGGAAGGAACCCGGCAGAAGCCCGAGTGTAGCTCGGGGTTACCGCTTTTGGTACGGAAAATTTACCCCCGAGCCACAACAAACGTGGCAGATAGAGGACTAACAGACAAACCATTTAACACTGACAGGGGTGTGTTTACAATGCTTTTACTCCCTTATGTAAACCAGATTAGCCACAAAAGGAAATAGAAACAACAGTTGCTTTAACTGCTTAAAAAGTGTTAGCTGGAGTTCGGATTTAATTGAAAGTCCAAAATCTGCTAGTCCATCTAAGGGTGCCCATACACTGTGCAAATTCCGGACAGTTTTTGAGGAACTGGCTGAAATTTGCACAGTGTGTGCTGCTGTCAGTACCCTTTCAGTCGGCACCCCTTGATCAGCTGATCGAAGGAGCTGGCCGGAAAATCTTCATACGATCAGAGCTGGCAGCCAATGAGCCGCCGGCTATGTTCAGGTATTTGGACATTGTATTTCTCAAAATACAATGCAAACAGTGGGATTCCTCGATTGACACACTTCTAAGTGTTGATGGAGGAATCTGCTCTATTTTTCTGGTTCAGTTCGCGGGTTGAACGTGAAAAACAGAGCAGTGTATGGTCAGCCTTAAGGGTGTAGCTCGGCTTACGACCATCGCAAGACTTTTGTCTTGCGATGGTCGTATGCTTATTGAAAGCTCGTAAGATCTGCCCACCTTGGACGGGCAGATCGTACTTGCGATCATCGAAAGCCCGCCCCGCTGAGGGGCGGGCTTCCGATGACCGCAATGCAGAACGGGCAGTGTGCGCGTGCGCACACCGGCCCGTTCCGCAGCTATCGGACGAGCAGGCTAGAAACCCGCCGAGAATCGTACGATTCTCGGCGGCTTTTCGAGCATGTTGGTTCGACAAAAGACGTGCGACCGTACAGTAGAAACGGTCGCACGTCTTCGTTCACACTGCTCGATTCTTGTACAAATCGTGGGATTTCGCCCGATTTTCGTACGAGAATCGAGCAGTGTATGGGCACCTTTACACTTCCCTCTCCGCAGGGTGGACAATGCTGCTGTCCAAGGGTGGCTCTGTTGAGTCTCCATAGAGTGAAGACATCCTAAAAAAAGATGTGTTACTGGCCATATCACTAGGTAAAATGAAGGATAAAAAAAACGAACAAGAAAAACTAATGCAGCCGTCACATCTAAGGATTTGTACGCAGCAATGATATTACATTTTTGTTTTTGGGGGTTAGATACACTGAGCAGAACTCCAGCCATTTCTAAAAGGAAATGATTTCATTTTTGTATAATCACTCCACACAAACTCAAATTGTATAAACTCCACATAAATGTATAAACTCCACACAAAAACACATAAATTGTCAGATGAGATTTAAATGCAGTGCTGCTTCTGACCACTAGAGAGGGAAATGCTTGAGCAGCTGTTATAGCACTACACCCTGCACCTATTCTGCTTTGCCACATGGAATAAGAATTCTAGCTTATGGAGTAATCATGCACCCTTGCTTATAGATGCTTCTGAAAATTTTAAACAACCAAACATTACAAGGTGCTGATGAGATTTTGTAAGCTATTGTCTAAAATACAGAAACAATACCTTGAGGATTGAGAACTCTTGGCTGTACAAATGAAGGCTTTACCACTTCGAACCACCAGAAAAGCTCAGCCATGAATACCAAGTAATTGGCCTGTCAAAACAAACATCAGATATAAATTAGAGATGTGGAAACGTGGTCTTAGATCAATAGTGAAATGGTGAGTAGGTGGAAAATTCCAGTGACGTCAACATCAACTAAATGCTGTTGGCAATATCAGACATTCTCTAATACCTGCTGAAATATATGAAGATTCTCCGTAGTACAAAGTTAACCGGTTTCAGAATTGAAAAAAGGAAAATCCACAGCATGCATCAGATAAATGTTTGCAGATCGCAACCAGAAAGAAAGGCTGCATCTAGCATTTCTGTATGTGATTCTCAACACATGCTGTGCTTGGCAAGTAGCTAGTAAGCTATACAGTCCTTCAGAGCACAAGAAGCGGTCACTGTTGGTACCAAAACAGTTTTGGAAACATTCAATACCTGTGAAATGGATTGTAATAATTAAAAGCTCTCATACAATGCACCTATGTTAGGCAAATTGGCAGAGTTCATTTAACTGGGGCCAGTGGCAGCAAGGATTCAGTTGAATTCAGCAAGTTGCACATTTCTGGAGATAAAAGTCCATTCATCAGGTATTATAATTCTTCTAAGAATGCCAATATAAATATCACATGCACACACACCAAAAAGGTGGTTTGTTTTTTGAAGGCACTAAACCACACAATGGTAAAATTCTATAATGTTATTGTTTTTACTAATTTTAAAAGGCATTAAAAGATTGCAGACACATCTGCATCAGAAAATACATAATTCAGTGTTTTTATGATTTATATGGCATAAAAAGTAACCTCCCAGGTATCCCCCATAATTCAGGAGAAAAGCTTGATACATCCCAAATTAAGTGGATTATCATAAACAACAATAACACTTAAAGATTATGATTTCACCAATGGGGGTGACCCTGATCTTCGATGCATTTTGCTATATGCTTTTTCAAGAAGGGAAGGAGGTACTTTGATTTTTAGACATATAAACCAGGAGAGCTATACATTTGAACAACAGCGGACTCACGCACCATCCCCACAAAGGGGACAAGTGGAAGGTGGAACAAAAGCCCGAAAGGTATTGTCGTGGGGAATAACGCAGGGTCAGCTTTAAACTAACTGGAGAAACTGGCCCTCCAAACTGGGTTTGTGTCTACAATCACGCTCCATATCCCCTTGCAGTAGCATCACCACCTTCACAACATCGCCCTACCACGGCAGACCAACTGAATGTCAATATAAGCATACAATGCTGCACTTGGAGATTCCAGGAAGCTGTGCCACCTGGAGAAGGAGGAAAGACATTCCCTTCCACAAAGTTGTCTTCTTATTTTTTATCAACCAAAGGGTATGTTTTAAGCATCCCTGCCCATCACACTCACCTCCTCAGGAGGCACTCTGGGCTCTCCGAGCATGAGAAGGCAGCTCTATACTGAAAATACTCAACAATAGTACTTGTTAGTATAAAACTGGAAGATTTCAGCGCAGCGGCTCCTGCCACAGGGTAAGGCAAAGTATTCTATTTTAGCATTAGGAATTAGTTTGGCTCAGTATTAGAGCTGCAACAGTTATTCGATTAAGTCGATTAAAATCGACGATGGAAAACGTTGTCAACGTTTTCCATCGTCGATTCGTCGGCTAAAATTCAAATTTCCCGCTCGCCGCTTTTTTTTTTTATCCGATTAATCGATTAATCGAACTTAATAATCGGCTAACTAATCGATTATGAAAATAATCGTTAGCTGCAGCCCTACTCAGTATTATAGTCAGGGCTTTAGTAAATTTACGTTAGGTCAGGCATGCCAAAGTGGTGTTTTTGAAGGGCCACATACAGCCCTCTCTCTTCTCATCTATGGACCCCAATCTGGTTTAAGCATTTATAGTGAAAGAATCATTCTCTGTTCTTTAGTTGATCAAAGCCACAATTCCTTACAATATTCTGCAGCTCTGTACTTTTTCTAGAATTAAGGAGTTGAAGCCAGCAGTAGACAATAAAGTTCATAAGTATTACTCCTCCTTCCTGCATCCCTAGACTTAACAAGTCATTAACCTTTGCAGTGCGAAGGGGCTCCCACTGCAAGAGCTTTTTTTTGTCTTGTGCTTGGAGTTAAACATTAAGGAAATCTGATCAGGACAAATATATGATGCCTTTGCTGACTTGCAATTCAAAGGTTTAGTCTATACGAAAGTTATCCTATACCTGGCTTAACTACTTAGGGAGTTAGCAACCTGTAACAAGCATGTAGCCAGTACAAAGCCCCATTCTGCATGCTGGCTCCAGATCAGTGACCCTCAAAGTAATCAAGCCATAATCAGGATGACTGGTCTAGAGCTCACACCATTTGAGAACAATTAAGCAATGGCAGGTAACATTTTCACACTCATAGGTTCACCTTAAAGCTCAAATGAACTTTAATTGAATCATGTTAGCACAAAGGGTGTGCAAAATCTAATTTTTTTTAAATAGCGAATGCCTTTCCAGAAAAGGATGCCCTTTGCCATCATGCTGTAGAGATGGACATTTATTCTCTGTATGGAACCAGTAGTCTCTGTAGGGGTCTGACACGGCCTCTCCTGAGTTATACCTAGAGCTCTCCAAAACAGCAGGTATCAGGAGCTATAGGTATAACTCAGCAGACAGCATGAGAGTAAGGGTCTTTTACAGCATACTGGCAGGAGATGGCCTTTTCCACACAGGCTGTGGCTGATTTCTAAAGAAAATGAACTACAAGACTCGGCACACCTTTTGTTTTGATGTACTTGGAATGCATTTAGCCAATTTAAAGTAAACGTCCAAATGAGATTTAATACAGTAAAATAAATGCTGACCTTAATTGAGGATGCAACATATAGCATGTCTTCCAAATTAAAATGACAACATCCATTTAAATACTCTTGGCAGAATTCCTGGATTAGCTGGAGGTTATAAAGACTGTCGGCCAGGGACATTGATTCTTTGAAGCAGATATCTATGACAAAAATAAACAAAAAATACTTGCATTAAATGTCAACATGCACAAAAATCACACATGTACTGGAAATGGAATTACATTTAAGATGTCTGTAATATTGTTACTATTGTTACCAGAAATCAATAGGGAAATGCTTTCTGAATGCAAGTGCAATAAGTCTGGTCATTGTGTAAACCAAACTGCCATCTGGCCTCCATATCTGAACACTGCACTGTCCTGTCCTGTCTAGGGACAAAAAAGTGATAATGCCCGCCCATCACCAGCAATGGCTTCCTGGGACTGCTATGTCCGGTCATCATTGGGTGGGCAGGTGGCTCTTTTTAAGTGCTGCCAAAAATGCTAAAATGAAGTGTGGCTTGCCTGCATTTCTTCACCTGGATAATTCACTAAATAGGCACCCAGCCAAGTAGATAAATCTCCCCAGTTAATGGGATATCTCCTTCTTATAATAAGTGGGATAATAATTCAAATAATTCAGATACATGCAAATTGAGCACACTTTCTCCCTTTAACACAACCACAGAGTTTGCTGGATAGTAGTTGCAGTTCATTTACTGGTTTCATTTGTTGTCTGGAGTAGTAGTAGTTCAGTTTCCAAGGCTGTGTACCACCTTCAGTGTGTTCAACACAGGTGGTACATGCTCCATACTAGGAATAACGTATCAGACACAATTATTGAAAAAGAAGCTAAAAATAAGGTCAAATGATAGAAAACGGTATTAGTCCAAGGAGGGGAAAAAAGCTAAATAGGGCTGTAAAACACAAAGTTCATTTTAACATGTGAAACCAGCATGATTACACTGTTGATAGAGGTACAGTAAGCAAATAAAAGTCAAACTGAACCCATATCCCATCAAAAGAGCTTTCATACACACATACAGTATATTTTTGTAAGCCCAGTCTACAGGCTACAAATTGGGTGACCAAGCTCAACTATGTAATTAAACCAGGAAAGTTGATGTTTCCAACCAGTGCCTTGCCCCCCCTCTCAAGAAAAAAAGGGACTAAAACTGGCCATACAATGGTACACAGGCAGATTTCTAAACATAAGTTTGTCGTATTTCCGGACCATTCGATAATGCCTTCACAATTGTTCTCAACCTAAAAATTCTACTGGTGTATGACCAGCATAAAGAAATCCAAAAGCTCTCCAACTGAATCAGTGTATAGCACAGTAAAGCTTTCTTAAAACGGAAGGTATTCACAAGTCTCATTTCATTACATATCCCAAAAGTAAGAGAATGATTGCTCATTTCAGGACAGTGGGTGTTGCCATGCAAATAATTTCTTTATGCCCCAATAGCCAAATGCACATTCGGTAAACCAGGGAAGTTGGTGAACTACTGGCCTCTGTTCCCCAAAAAATAAAATGAAAATAAAGAAGGTGGAACCATGTATATCATTTAATGCATATCATGGCAGGTGTATAGTGCAAATATAGCCTAATATTATAGAGTCAATTATCCCTAAATGCATCCAGCTGTTTCCAGCTTTTCTTGACCATCATCCATGCAGTATATGAAAACCATGGCTTCTATGGAATAGGGTTTATGACCCAACAAGACAATATAACCATAGAGGCCATGGCCAAAAAAGTCTGAAACCGCTGGATGCAGCTTGTAAGGCTTTGCTGTGCAAATAAATGCTAGTTGTCTTGCTAATGTTTTGTTCTAAAAGGCTAAGCGTACTTGCATTACAAATATGATTAACCACTCCCCTTAGACTTCCTGACTAGACTAACTTACCTGAATAGAACAGCCAAAGTCTTTTTCACTGCTTGCTTATGCCATATTTCTGCTACCAGGGAACCCCAGGTGCTTTGTACAGCCTCCAAAAAACGTTACCTGCTGTATGTTCGTGAAAGCGCACTTGCATAAACCCATGAATGTGTACAGATGTGCGTGTATAACCGCATACAGCCACTGACTTTTATGGGAGGCTGTACAGAGCACATGGGGCTCCCTGGCAGGAGAAACACACTGGAATTTACAATGTACAGGTGGTTATGTACAAGAGCCCAGCACAGGAGGCTGATGGAAATAAAGAACCTAAAGTTTTTATTTTCAGAGAAAAAAAAACTTTTACAACATTTGTTTCATTGGAAATGTTTTTTCTTTCAGTGGTGGATTCGATAGGATGCATCGATTACTCACAAATCCCCTGCACAGTAGTTATAAGTGAGACCCACCCCCCCAGCTGCAACGTCCAATGGGGGGTGGGGCGTCTTACTCTCATCCCTTCACTTCCTGTGTACTTGCTGTACGCTACACAAAATGCATCAAGGCAAGTAAGGCCGGGTTCACCCCTAGGCGGCACCATTTTTGCACGTATGTACTCGCGTGAGAAGCATGCGTTTATTTGCGCATCGTGCACATTTTGATGTGCGTTTTTACTGGTGGCTTATGAAACATTGTGTGCAATTGAAGAACGCTCGTTTAAACGTCCAAAAACGCTCACAAAAATGTGTAACTTGCTTGTGGCGCGCATTTTTGGGCATTTCCATTGAAGTCTATGCTGCCATTTTTCTAATCAGGTGTGAACAAGGGCCATTGAAAATCATGGGATTTCTTGTGTTGGGCATTTAAAAGCGCTTTTCCAACTGCTCAAAAACTCCTAGGTGTGAACCAGGTCTAAGACATCTTTGTTTTGCCTAAGCTGCTGCAATGGAGGTGCTGCTACAGCTAAGAATTACACCAGAAGCAGCCACTGCCAGCAATGCCAAATGACCAAAGGCTGAAAAGGGTCCCTTTCATGTATATAGATAACAATAAAAGTAAAGGGAAACTGTAGGGTAGCATTTTCTGATGGACAGAACTGAGGTGATTAGTACCTTCTAATCTAATCACATCCGGGCAGTAGAAGTGGATGAGAGCAGCTATTGCACAGCCATCAGTTGCATCCTTTAAGAGGTTCTCCATAAGAGGAATATAGGGTAACTGCTTGTACAGACTCTGTTCCTTCCTGTATCTTGCCTGTAGATAAAGATAAAGAGAGAGATTTTAACAAAACACCGGAGATAAACTGGTAGAAAAAGATATGCAATTTACATAGAGCAAAAAGCTTAGACTGGTGAAATTACTTGTCACATGCCACAGTTTACCAGAAGATGACTATTTCCAACACAGCCTGGTGTTCTCATTGCCGATTTCACCAGTAATGCCTACAAATACTCTGAAGAGTACTGAATTGAGCAGATTCAACCCTTTGTGATTCTAAGCTGAAATAAATTGCACTGTGAAATTCTTAGTTTAATAGTTTGTGCTCAGGAATTGTTAAAGGTTAAGTGCACCTATTTTTTTTTATCCCCCACCCCGACGTAACAATCCTACTCTCTCTGCAGATTCATACATAAAGAGATCAGATAGGCACGCTCCATGTTTTGTTTACATCGACACTGCTCCCTATGCTGGCTGCAACTGCATATTACAGGCCTAGACTTACATAGAAGAGCTAAAAGTAGAACTGAAGCCATTTTTTAAGTTCTAAATAGAGTAGAGAGGGATTAGATAACATGTCAGGTTTTTATTGCTGTCTATGTCCCTGTAGGGTGAGTCACCCTCTCTATTTGTCCTGGTGACCATTACCACTGAAGGCGAAAGAGAAAATAGATTTCCTCTCAGTTTCTGTTGTTGCTATGGGACAGAAAGTAAAGGGAAATCTCTCCAATGCGACACAGATGGCAAACAACAGGGGTTATAACGCACCCTTACGCTCTCCAAAATAAAAAACAAAAAACAAACAGATTTGGCTTTACTGTCAATGTAAGTCTAAAAATAATAGATCTTAAAGAACTAAGATATCTGTCAAATGTGTCCGAATAAAACCCAATGTCTATGGGTACACTGCATCTGTAGAAGGTATTTCTAGCTGACTGCAAAATCTGCGCAGTGAGAAATATGGAGGCTGCTGGTTGCCTTGTCATCTCCAGGTTCAATAGTTTTTTTTTTTTTTTTTATGAATAACATTTTCTTTATTTTCAAAAGTTACATTCACAAGTTGGTTACATACAGAAGATTCACGTCATTTCCAAAATATCTTAGCTTATTACAAACAGCTATAGCTTACCCTGGGGTAAATTTCAATCGTGTGCTTAGGTGTCTACTGAAATAAGACGTAATGATATGATAGACTGTGTGTATAACTACAGAAGCAGAATGTGCCTCTGCCAGAAGTTATTTCTGCTCACCATTCCAGTCGCCTTTTGCCAACTTGAGGCGCAGCGTTAAACCAAACCTAATATAATTAACAGTCAAAACAGACAAAAAATAACACAAACTCTTTATCCTATCAGTCTCATTCCGACACACAATCATATCTTTATCACATCAGTATAAGGATTATATCTCTCGAGTTGCCTGACCTACTAGACCTTTATTTGTTTATTGCACTTTCGGGTTTGAGTCTCCCACAGTCTTCTGCCTATTCAAATACCCAACCATCTCTCCGATTCCTCCTACCATTAATGTATCCCAAATACCAAGAAGGGTGTCCTCCAGTCCTGTCAAGGGTCAAGATATAAGGGTCCTGCAAGGTCCGTTGTGGGATCTCTCCCTCTCTATAGAATAGTGTCTTCCAAATCATTCCAAGGTTTCCATACTTTTTCATACTTAGATAAAGTATTGTTTAGCCTAGCAGTAAGGTTTTCCATAGTCCGCACCTCCTTGATTCTTCTGTATAAATCTATTGGAGCAGGAGAAGATACCCGTTTCCAATTTAGTGCTATGAGGCAGCGAGCTGCTGCGGGAAGGGAAGCCCCAGTAGGTAGTGAATTGGAGACCGAGGGAGACTTGTCTGTAGCACTTTTTCCAAGGTGTTCTGTACAATCCTCCAGTATGGGATTATCTTTGGACAGGACCAAAATATGTGGAATAGAGACCCCCGTTGCGCATCTCCTCTCCAGCACGTCGGGGACCCCGATTTGAAAATAGAGTACAAGACGTCTGGGGTATGGTACCAGTGAAATAGTATCTTATATTGATTCTCCTTAGCATATAGAGGATTTAGCTGCTGTTTTCCATATCAACTCCCATTGTGCTCTGGTTACCGGAATGCCCAGTGTTTTTTCCCATTTTGCCATGTAAGGGTGGTTAACAAATTGTTCAGGTTTGGGTGAGCTTCAATAGTTTTAAAGTCCCTGACCTGGAAGAAACATGCTGTGAGAAAAGTCAGAATTCCTGCCTGGTTGCTGATTCAGAAAGTAATGAAGACAGAGGATCATCATGATGGTTGGGAAACTTTTTCATTAAGAAATATAAGTAATGGTATCTTAGAATTCCTCAGTACAGATTTCTTTTAAGGGGCAAGTGAATAGACTAGGTTGGATTTATATGGACCTATGATAAAGAGATGTCCGAATGGGTAAAATCACTAAGCCCTAACAAATCCCTTTAATACTCAGTAAGGGGTATAAAGGGTACTAGCTAATAAATTAAGATTCACAACTAAAAGTTTAACCAAGCCACCCAAACAACAGCCCATGTTAAACAGACACCTCGAGAACTAGATGTTGAATGGGGAAGTATGCAATGATGCCTTAAAGGTTCACAGATGCATTTCCTGAAAAATTTCTGATAAGCCTCTGATAAACTCACCCAATTATTATCCAAAATGTAATTGACATATCTATATGCCAACATGGCCCCAGGAACCTTATTTAGCCTACTATGGGAGTGGCCACAAATCCAGAGTTACGCACAACAGATGACTACATTTCTTCATGACAAAATGGGTACACTAGTTCCCATGGATCCCAAGATTTGTCTGCCGAGTATTCTTGACAATCCTGAATTAACAACTATACTCGCGCCTTTCTACATGAAACCTTACTCACAGCCCAAAACTGGTGGCTAGTTAAAAGGCCCTGACTACGACCCTCTCTCTTTGGAAGCAATAAATAAAACTTTTCCAAACAAAAAAAGTACTTTACAAAGAAAGAGGTTGTTCTGCTAAATACACTAAGATATGGGATACAGCTGGAAGAATTGTAACCCTATGCACCCCATCTGTGTCTCATTGGGGAGTGAGAGAAAATCTCTTCAAAGTACGGGAAATACCCTCAGATGTGTAAACAGAACCCTTTGGGAGACTTTATTCCTGTTTCAAATTTTGATTTTGGAACACATTCAGTCCCTTATTAGATACAGCTTAAAGGAAACCTTATATGAAAAAAATAGAGGTTTTTATTGCTGACCTCTTGGGTTGGAAATACTAGTTAACTCACTGCCATGCTGGTTCTCCAGCTTTAATATTTTATTGGCTGAGAACAAGTATGCAGGTAACAACCTTTGGCTCGACACGACTCTCCAGATCTATATAGACACTGGTTCCAGGTCAGCACCAACAAGCCAGAGGGTAAGCACAACAGGCAGGTAACTTGCATGTTAAAAAAGGGGGTAAGTAATGACAGTCCCTCCTTCTCTCATGGTAGGTTAGCTTTAAAGTCTTACCAACATGCAGTTTTTAGAGACTAATGAAAAGGTCTCTGCACTAACGTATTACATTCTGCTAATGATTATGAACGCATTGCACAGAATTGTCCCCTTGAATGTATTTTAAATTAAATATCAGTATTAGATGCCCTTTTTAGAGCAGACTAGGTCATATATTTTCTTCTTTAGTTTTTATGGGCACAGAGATTTGCTTTATCATGTTTTAAACAGACTTCTGACATCTCCCTTTTTAAATAAAAAAGATTGAGGACAGAGTCTTCAATCTCTTTTTCTACAGCCCCAGCACTAAATGAACAGGAGCACTCAGTACAGAGGATTCCTATTCATTCACAAACTGAAGAGGCACAGTACTCTACCCAGTTACAAATGGACAGGAAGCCTCTGTACTGAGTGTTCCTGCCCATTCATAAACTGAGCACATAGTAAGTGATTACTATTTCCCCAATCATTAATTCACAGGAAGTGATGTAGAGCACTTCCTGTTCATTCATAACTGGGGACATTCTAATCTTACTATGTCCTAAGTTATTTACAAACACCCAGTGATCAGTACCGGTCACTCAGTGTTTGTGCTGCACACAGAAGAATCAGCAAATATTTCACATATAGGCTGATTTTCCGCTCATTATCCTGAACTGCTTGCCCCTCAAAGCTACACTATCTATCCCAACAGCAGCTCTCTCCTCTCCGCTCAGCATCCTGACCGTGACAGCTCTCTCCACCCCACCCCCCCCCCCCCTGCCATGG